AATTCTCCGCTTTTAATTGAGTTGATTCTCAGCTATTAGTCTAAATAGTTCTCTGCTTTTAAGTGAGTTGATTCTCAGCTATTAGTCTAATTAGTTCTCTGCTTTTAATTGAGTTGATTCTCAGCTATTAGTCTAATTAATTCTCCGCTTTTAATTGAGTTGATTCTCAGCTATTAGTCTAATTAATTCTCTGCTTTTAATTGAGTTGATTCTCAGCTATTAGTCTAAATAGTTCTCCGCTTTTGTTTTAGTTGATTCTCAGCTATTAGTTCAAATCATTCTCGATTTGTGTTTCTTGTTGATTCCTAATTATTGTGCATTATTTTCCAGTTTCAGTTCCATGGACAGGACACCTACCGCCAAGCGCATGGCACAGAATCGCGACAGTCATGGCAGGACCACCAGTTTTGGCGGCAATAATCAGGTGAGAATATCTCTCCAATGTACAAAGTTTACCACAGACTCTCAAAATACAGAGCTTTACCACACACAACAATCACGTTGGAATATATATCTAATACTCAGAGTGAAGTAGTCACACCCCAATTGATGGTCTCTTTGTTTGTTCAGAAAAAGAAATCGTGCACGCTGCCCATTTTCAGCAAGTTCTGGCAGCAGCATAGAAGGAAGTACGGTAAATTAGTAACATCGGCATTCTAGTGCATTGCATGCCTATCAAAGTACAGCATATAAGGAAGTCCGGTTTATTAATATCACATTATTATCTGTACCATATATCGTAGTATGCACTATACATCATTGTGCACTTTATGCATTATCATATGATCCATGCGTCATCACATACCCTATATGTCTCTATACATTCCTCTACGCACACACACATATATATATATACATTCCTCTATACATTCTCGATGCATCTCTCTATACATCAATTCACACCATAACCTCTCGATCGCACCCAGGACAATCCGCGACGCACACCAACGTCACCACACCGTCTGACGTTCGATGAAATTCTGCAAGCACCCGCCAGTTTCTTACACTTCATGGAGTTCATGGAACAGGAGAGGGCAGCAAGTCTACTGCAATTCTGGGTCAATGCAAACAACTACCGCAACTACAGCGAAAGTGCGGACGAGCAGAAGAAGGTGGGTGGATTACGTGTGGTAGTTGTATATATATATATATATAAATATATATATATATAAATGCATGAGTATATGTATATGTGTACG